CTCAAGCGAGTCTCCTGCCTCAGCCTCCCAAGTAGCTGGGACTACAGGCGCCCACCACAGCACCTGGCCATTTTTTGGTTGCAGCCATCATTGTTGTTTAGCAGGCCTGGGCTGGGGATTTGAACCCGCCACCTTAGGTGTATGTGGCTGGCGCCTTAGCCGCTTGAGCCATAGGTGCCAAGCCTTGAGACAGAGTCTTACTGTGTCACCCTTGGTAGATGGCATGTCTGTGGTATCACAGCTCACAGCAACCTCAAACTCTTGGGCTTAAACTATTCTCTTGCCTCAGACTCCCAAGTAGCTGGGGCTACAGGTGCCAGCAATGCCCAGCTATTTTTTTTGTTGTTGCAGTTATTTAGCTGTTGTTTTAGCTGGCCGAGGCCGGGTTTGAACCTGTCACCCTTGGTGTTTGTGGCTGGCACCGTAACCACTGTGCTACGGGTGCTGAGCCTTGTTTTGTCTTTCAACAGCTATGTGTTATATTGTGGATTTCTTTGACTTTACCCTATTTGAGGTTTGTTGATCTATTTGGGTGTACAGAATAATGGTTTCACCCAAATTGGGAAGTTTTGGGGCAGTGTCTGTAACTCAGTGGGTAGGGCACTGGCCACTGGCCCCATTCACCCAGGCTTGTGTGCCTGGGCCAGCTAAACAATGATGACAACCGCAACAAAAATATAGCCAGGCATTGTGGCAGTCCCAGCCACTTGGGAGACTCAGGCAAGAGAATTGCTTAAGCCCAAGAGTTTGAGGTTGCTGTGAGCTGTGATGCCACATCACGCTATCGAGGGCAACGTAGTGAGACTCTGTCTCAAAAGAAGAAAACCAAATTGGGAAGTTTTTGGCCAATACTTCTTCCAGTTTCTTTCTTCTCTTCCTCTCACTCCTATTATGTGTATAGTAGTATTCTTGCTTGTGTCCTAGAAGTCTTATAGGCTCTGTTCATTTTTCTTCATTTTTTAAAATAGAAGTGAAATCCATATAAGATACAATTAATGATTTTACAGTGTACTATTCTGTGTATATAGTGTGTTCACAATATTGTTCAACCTCAGCTCTTCATTCTTTTTTCTTTCTGAACCTCAAATTGGAAATTTTCAATTTACTTATCTTTAAGTCACTGATTCTGTCTTCTGCCTTCTGAATCTGCTATTGAGCCCTTCTAGTGACTTTTTAATTTCAGTTATTGTACTTTTCAACTTCAGAATTTCTTTTTTTTTTGAGACAGAGCCTCAAGTTGTCACCCTGAGTAGAGTGCTATGTCATCACAGCTCACAGCAACCTCTAACTCCTGGGCTCAAGCTAGTCTCCTGCCTCTGCCTCCCAAGTCGCTGGGACTACAGGCACCTGCCACAATGCCTGGCTATTTTTTGGTTACAGCCATGATTGTTGTTTGGTGGGCCTGGGCTGGATTCACCCGCCTGGATTCATACACCCACCAGCTCAGGTGTATGTGGCTAGTGCCTTTGCCACTTGACCCGCAGGCTCCAAGCTTCAACTTCAGAATTTCTATTTGTTTCCTTTACTTTTTATAATTTATTTACAAAATATATTTATTTATTGATATTCTCTATTTGGTGAGACATCATTCTCATATTTACTTTAGTTCTTTAGACATGGTTTTCTTTATTTCTTTAAATATATTAAAATACTTGATTTAAATTATTTAGCTAGTAAGTCTTTGTTTAATGTCTGGGTTTTCTCAGGGACAGTTTGTATTAATCGTTCCTTTTGTTCTATATATGGCCATGTTCATTTATTTCTTTGCATGCCTCATAATTTGGGGGATATTTGGAAAATTATAATATAAAAATTCTGTAAACCAGACCTATGCACACATCCCCCTGTTTGTTATTATTTCTTCTTATTGTTTGTTTCATGGCTTTTATGAATTAATAATTCTACAAAGTCTGTATTATTTATTATACGTGGTTACAGAAATCTATGTTCCATTTGCTTATTGACTGGCTAATGATTGGACAGAACTTTCCTTAAATACCTGTCACCAAAAAGTATCTTCTAACCTTTGTTGGAGACCTGCTTGTATTTATATTAGGTCATGCCTTTAACATTCAGCTGGACAGTTTAAAACTGTGTTTTAGCCTTCCCTTCCTGCTTGAACAGAGCCTTAAGGTCAGACAGAGCAAAAGATTACAGTGGTCTTCTGATGTTTTTCCTGAGCATGAAGAAGCCTGCACATAATGCTGGGTGTGTCCATACGTAGGAGATGCTGACAGCTTAGACGAGGATGTGGTGATGGAAAGAAGCTATCTAGAAGTTAGAGTCAACTGACTATTAGATATACAGATAGGCACATAACATATCAAAAGAGGATTTCTTTTATTTTAAAGTCAGTAATGAATAATTTAATAGTTTAAAAACTTTTGTAAGCAATTATCCATATTTCTTTGTTGATATACTTCACTTTGAACTCTTCATAAATCTGTATTTGATTGTAAGGCAATTAATTATCTATCCAGAAAAGCAATTTAACGAAAGAAGTTACTCTGAATCTTTTTCTAACATAAAATTATTTTTCCTAGTGGACCTTTTGACATACGTAGTGTGGAAGTTAAGTGGTTTACCTGCGACTAGTGTAATTGGAACTGGTTGTAATCTAGATTCTGCCCGTTTCCGTTACCTAATTGGAGAAAAGTTGGGTGTTCATCCTACAAGCTGCCATGGTTGGATTGTTGGAGAACATGGTGATTCTAGTGGTAAATATAAACCTATTATCATATGTAACTACCCATCTTGTCCCTAATAATACTTATTTAAATTCTTTTTTTCTGATATTAACATAGTCATATAACTTTGATCATATTAGTATTTTGCTCATATATATTTTTCTGTTCCTTTATTTTCAATCTTTTACATCATTGATATAGCAGCCTCTCATAAGATATTCCATAAAACAGGTAGCTATTTAAAAAGTCATTCTGGGGTGGCGCCTGTAGCTCAGTGAGTAGAGCACTGGCCCCATATATTGTGGGTGGCGGGTTCAAACCTGGTCCTGGCCAAACTACAACGACAAATAACAAAAAAAAGTCATTCTGAGTGTTTCTCTTATCTAAAGTACTTTTTTATTTATGATTTTTAATAGCTTTATTAAGATATGATTTACATGCCCTAAAATTCAACCATGTATTATTGACTGCTTTTTAATATATTCACAGTTGTAGAACCACAGTCTAATTATAGAATATTTTTCATCAACTCTAAATGAAACCCCCATTCCTCTACCTCCCCTAGCCCTAGGCAACCACTAATCTACTTTCTGACTCTATAGATTTGCTTCTGCTAAAATTTTCATATAAACAAAATTATATAATGTGATTTTACCTATTAAGACCATACCAACCTCTTTCTTTTCTGTATTTGAGTACTTAAACTCTGCTATGTAGTTAGAACTTCATACTTTTTTTTTTTTTTTTGCAGTTGTCATTGCTGTTTTAGCTGGCCGGGGCTGGGTTCGAACCTGCCACTCTCGGGATATGGGGATGGTGCCTTACCCACTGAGCCATAGGCACCACCCAGAACTTTATACTTCTTACAATGTTCCTTAATTATGTCATATGTGTAAATCTTCTTTCCATAATGGTAGTAAACCCACTGAGAATAAAAACCATTTATTCATTGTTAAATCATTCATTTATTTAAAATGTTTTATGTGTACTTTTCTTTATATTTCAAGAGCCATGGTATAGTAAATACTTGATTTGGAAAAATACTTTTTTGATGAGTGCCTTAATTTGACCCTATTGGCTTGTGTTATTATCCTAATGCAGCTCTTCTTTTTGAAGGTCCTTAAAAATAATTTTCCCATGGTTCGGTACCCGTGGCTCAAGTGGCTAAGGCACCAGCCACATACACCTAAGGTGGTGGGTTCAAATCCAGCCTGGGCCTGCCAAACAACAGTGATGGCTGCAACCAAAAAAATAGCTAGGCGTTGTGGCAGGCACCTGTGGTCCCAGCTACTTGGGAGGCTGAGGCAGGAGACTTGCTTGAGCCCAGGAGTAGGAAGTTGCTGTGAGCTGTGATGTCACAGCACTCTATCCAGGGGGGACAGCTTGAGGCTCTGTCTCAAAAAAAATTTTTTTTTCCTCAGGTATATTTTAACTTCTCACATTTAATATTCTATGATTTTACTTTTAGAAAAATATTCTGATTAGCATTAATTTGAACATATTTAGCATTCTATTTAGCATTATTTTTCTTTGTTTCTCTTTTCCTGGTTTCTGTTATATCTTCTTTAATTTCCTCTACTACTTGAGATTATACTTTTCTTGTAAATGGTTATCTATAAAGTTTTAATATTCATACTTGATCTCAAGATTATTAGTGTATTTACTCTTCTTTGGAATAATATAAATACTTTAGAATGATTTACGTTTGATCACCCTCTTTCTGTTTATATGTAATTATTAAGTCATTTTTGGGATCTGTCCTATTTTTATCACCCCCAAGTAATGATAATTGTTATTGTATGAATAGTCCATACTTGTTTTGATTTATATACATGTTTGCCAGTTTTATCTTTATTGCCTATCTTTATTTTCTACATCTCACTCCTTTCCCCACATTCAATTTGTTTCTTTCCTTCTTTCTTTTTCCTTTCCTTCCTTTTCCTTTCCCTTTCCTTTCCCCTTCCCTCCCTCCCCTCCCCTTCCCTTCCCTTTCCTTTTGACAGAGTTTCACTTTGTCACCCTCGGTAGAGTGCCATGGTGTCACAGCTCACAGCAACCTCCAGCTCTTGGGCTTAGGCAATTCTCTTGCCTTAGCCTCCCAAGTAGCTGGGACTGTAGACACCCACCACAATGCCTGGCTATTTTTTTGTTGCAGTTTGGCTGGGGCCAGGTTCGAACCCACCACCCTTGGTATATGGGGGCTGGTGCCCTACTCACTGAGCCACAGGTGCCTCCCACATTCAGTTTCTTTCTTTCTGAACTATATCTTTTTTTTTTTTTTTTATTGAATGGTAACTATGTACATTAATGTACTTCTGGGGTACAGTGTGGGGTTTTCACACACAATCCGAAACACTTCCATCAAACTGGTTAACATAGCCTTCATGTCATTTTCTTTTTTTTTTTTTTTTTTTTGGAGACGGAGCCTCAAGCTGTCCCCCTGGGTAGAGTGCCGTGGCATCACAGCTCACAGCAACCTCCAACTCCTGGGCTCAAGCGAGTCTCCTGCCTCAGCCTCCCAAGTAGCTGGGACCACAGGCACCCGCCACAATGCCCGGCCATTTTTTGGTTGCAGCCATCATTGTTGTTTGGCGGGCCCGGGCTGGGGATTCGAACCCGCCACCTCAGGTGTATGTGGCTGGCGCCCTAGCCGCTTGAGCCACAGGCGCCGAGCCATGTCATTTTCTTAGTTATTGTTTTAAAACGTTCACATTCTACTCTTAGAAAGGTTCACTTGTACCCTTGTAAGATAAACCTCAGAAGTGATCCCTCCAATCCCCCTCCCTCCACCCACTCCCCGCTCCCCTCTGAACTATATCTTGTCAGTATTATTTATATGAATGTGTTTTAGTCTCACCTCATTATGGAACAACAGTTTAACTGGATGTGTGATTTACAGTTTATACGCGTGCACACACACACACACACACACACACACTTTTTAATAGGGTCTTACCAATTAACTCAGACTGGTCTTAAACTCCTGAGCTCAAGCAGTCCTTCCACTTCAGCCTCCCTAGTAGCTGGGGCTATAGGCACATGCCATTGCACACAGCTAATATTTTATCTTTCTTATCCTTTTCTTTGTGCCTTTTGTCTGTTGCTTAAAAATGCCTCCTATACGTGTACTACACAATTATAAATAAATTCTACCTATTTTCTAACACCCCACACTTTTATTTCTTAACATTTCTCCCTTTTATGCATTTGAAACTTATTTTTATGTTAGTTTATGGTAGTAAACTAACATTAAAAAAACAAAACACTGATGGGCAGCACCTGTGGCTAAAAAGAGTATATGTCCCGGCCCCATATACCGGAGGTGGTGGGTTCAAACTCAGCCCCGGTTAAAAACTGAAAATAAAAAAAAAAAAACCAACAAAAAACAAAACATTGATCTCAAACTACTGATGCAATATTGGGAAGAAGAGTTCATTCTGAGATATGTTTTTCTAGTGCCCATATGGAGTGGGGTGAATGTTGCTGGTGTTTCTCTGAAGACTCTGGATCCTAAATTAGGAACTGATTCAGATAAGGAACAGTGGAAAAATATCCATAAACAAGTTGTTTCAAGGTAATAGTACCCATTCAACTTCTTAATGCTTTAATAATCAGTCTTTTTTTTTTTCTTTCAGTAGATACAAGGTCTTGCTTTGTTGCTAAAGTTTAGTGGCACAGTCTGAGCTCACTGTAACCTTGAACTCCTGGGCTCAAATGATCCTCCCATCTCAGCCTCCTAAGTGGCTAGGATTATAGGCCCATGCCACCATCCCCTGCTAATTTATTTTATTTTTATATTTTTTTGAGACACAGTCTCACTCTGTCACACTGGGTAGAGTGCCCTGGAATCATGTTCACAGTAGCCTCAAACTCTTGGGCTCAATGATGCTCTTACCTCAGCCTCCTGAGTAGCTGGAACTATAGGCGCCCACTATCACACCCTGCTAACTTTTCTATTTTTTTAGTAGAGACTGGGTCTTGCTCTTGCTTAGGCTGGTCTCAAACTCCTGAGCCAAGTGATCTACCTGCTTCAGCCTCAGAGAGTGCTAGGATTACAGGTGTGAACCACTGCGCCCATCCTAAAAGCACAATTTAAAAAAAGTACAAGGCAACAAATAGTGGTCTGAATTTCAAAATGTCAAACCAGCAGAGCATGATAGATTTTAATCTGGGACTAAGTTTGTTGAGTATGGTGAAAAAAAACACAGTATGGGTCTCAGTATTTTCTTTAGGAAGTATTGCAAATGCTTGGTTGTAGCTCCTAGGTCCTGTCACTGCATGGGCACACTCAGTTGAAAAGGATGAAACTGACTTCTGGGGCAGGCTACCCTGACACAGGAAAGCTGCTGTCTTTGTTTCTTGAAGTTTTTAATACAGTTCTTTCACATAATCCTCAGGGTCTGCATGCTTACTCCCAGTCTTGATGCAATGCATGAATCAAAGGTTTCATAATATCCAGTGTTGATAACCTAGTTCTATTATGGTTAATAGTCTTCACTT